TTGTCTTATTTTCTCTTCTCATTGTTTTAAATACAAAAACTTACAAAAAGGTATACTGTGCACCATGTAGAAAGCAGACTATTACAGAATAATGCAAGCAACTAATTATGGTCCAAAACACACTGTAGAAATAATCCAGTTTGAGACTGCTTTAACTGCCCAGGATCAATGCTATGGAATTCTGGGAACTGTACTTCTGTAAGTCATTTAGCCTTCTTTATCAGAGCACTCTGGTAAACTACAATAAACTACAATTCCCAGGACACCCTAGCACTAAACCAGCACACTTAAAGGGGTCTCAAACTGGATTATTTCTGCAATATGTTTTGGACCTATGTTAAAAGATTACTTAAACTGAACTTTGGCTGTAAGATCTTAAATGATTTAATTCAAATGTAATATCCAAAGTTAAAGGTTTCTTTTTGAAGGGGGGATTGAGTAGAGAGAAAAAAGAAGAAAAATATTAAAACTATTAAATCCACCTACATAAGCATTAGCACAATTTTTCCTGTTTTAAAATTACGCCAATGGCTTTATGTTTCCTTTATAGTCTCCTAAGAGGCATTTTAATGGTCAATGACTGAGAAAGATATGCCATTTGAACATCTCATGTTTAAGCATTATTACTTTCAGCTTGAGAACCATAAATTGAAACAAAGTTCCGCAACCTGCCACCCTCCAAATGTGTTGGACTATAATTCCCATCACTTTGGACTATCATTTCCCCTCCACCTCCCATTTAAAAACCATGGCAAGCTTGGTTAATTTTTAACCCATTCAGAAACTATTCATAATAAAAACTTTTCCAGAAAACAACTGTACCAGTGTTAATACCTGTACTCACAATAAGTCAGACAGCATTAGTTCTCATCACATCTGTCTGGAAAATGCACATTTCCTTACTTACCTCAATTTTGTCTATCTTCGCATCTCCCCAATAAAGTTTGCTTTCTTCAAGATCCAATGCCAAACCATTAGGCCACCCTAAAGAGGTATTCACCAGGACTTTCCTCTCAGAACCATCCAAATAAGCACACTCAATTTTTGGATTTTCACCCCAGTCAGTCCAGTACATATACCTATTGAGAAGCAGAGAAATATGTATTTTATATATCCATTTGTAATATCATTGTAAGTTCAAGCTGTTATGTTCAACTTGACTGGGCAGAGTGTTCTTTGTTTTCCCAGTTTGCAAGATCTGTTAAGTATCCATATGCTTGTCATTACAAATAAGGGG